TGAGTCAATGCAATCAGGTGGTTTTCCTTAGATGGAAAACAGTGAATTGTCTCTTCAAAGTGGCTTGAGATGACACTTGAGAATTGGTGCTATATAAATAAAACTGAATTGAATATTTGTTTCTATTGTAGACCTGATAAAATCTCACATCTTCACTGCTTCGCAGACAAAAAAATGCACTTGATGCACTGTAACATTAGATAAACAGATGTTCACAAACTATTTTCACATTTTTATTTGGAATAAATTATCAGTCGGGAACATGCACTCACTGTATGTTGGTTTATCATGTGAAATCAAAAGGAAATACGTTAAACTAGAACTTGGGTGTTAGTACATTTGCACTGCACTGTATAAGAAGACTCAAGTGTCCCTGAAGTGACAACATTCCCACTTACTAACGTGCGGTGGGTTATCTGCAGGGAATCAAGAGGAAACGTGGGCTCCAAGCGGGATGTTTAATATCAGCTTCAAGAGCCTCATTAAGAATTGATCACATTGAGAGCAGAGGTTATAGATTTTTCACTACAGCCTCTTCAGAAAGCACCAGATATGCACACATGCGTGATTTAACACGCGCGCTCTCGTGTTCACCTCCAGCCTTTGATGTTAATTACCGCAGCGTCATTCACGATGAGTCAGTAGGTTGCGTTTGTGTGGAACGATGGATTCCGGGGTGAAATGAACGCACCACCGTGGTCCACCGCCCGCCACACCCATCAAAGTTAACAAAGGCGGACGCCTTCATCTGTTGTAAAAATAAATAAATAAATAAATAAAAAAAAAACGGGTCGTTTAGATGATGTTGGGTTTTAAACAAACGAGTTTTTGCTCGCAGATGCTGCAGAGTTTATCTCCAAAAACACGCCCACCTTCTCATCTCACTTTTACGCACATACGCGTAGGCAGCTCGTGCAAACATGTATACAGTCGCACAGGCATGCGCAAATGTGGTGCGCATGTTCCAAAATCAACCCCTTTGTCTCGGTCGCCCCTGAAACAGGAATTCGGCAGAGAAGGGTGCCTGTGTGGACCAGACTGCCTCCTCCCCCCACCACACACACACACACACACACACACACACACACACACACACCATAACTCTCTCTCCTCCCTTAGTAACCCCCCACAGCCATCAACAACACACACACCTCCTCAACCCCTTTGTGTGTATCCATGTGTGCTGAAACCAAGTGTCGGATGCTGAGCTGATTCTTCATTATTACTTTTTTCCAAATAATATGTATATAATTTATTCATCAACAACAAATCTTGTTGGATGTATGGAAAGGTGCATGTGACCCGGAGAGCGCGTGGGAATCTCACTTCTCCATAGCTTGGACCCACATAGAGGAGCCTGTTACCAGCAAGTGCGGCAGAATTGGACTTTTCCACCATCAGCATCCCTGCTCACCTCACCTCATCCCTGCTCGTCTCGTGGCAGACCTCCCTCCTCCTCCCTGTTTCCCTCTCCGTTGTCCCAGAATAGCCCCGGACCCCACAGCCTACCCACGGAGTCTTTGGATTTTGGGGGTGATGAGAGGAAGCAGTAGGATGGATTAACGGGGACGGCGCAACGGCAAAACTGGAGCAGCACGCGCGACCACGCCGGGGGGGAAGGGGGCGACGGGACTCGGTGAATTCACGCAGCCCCCGGGACAGAGGTGAGTACAGCTATCCGTCCCCCTGCATGCTTTGCAAGGGGAGGCTTCCTCGCTCCACCCAAACGCACGGAGACGAGGAGCAGACAATCAGCACATGGCTTTCACGTTTCTGTGGCCGATGATCTGAGGCAGTCTGCTTCTTTCTGCTGGAGGAGGCGTAGCTGTGAAATGCTCCTGTTTGAATACTGATTGATAAAAAAAAATCAAATGCAACATGAGCAAATATATCCCTATAACAGAATATGATCAACATGAGAATTTTGCATGTTTCTTAAATATCAGGACAAAAATGTAAAAACAGCACTTCATCATGTTTCTCCTTTTTGGTATTAAGGTGGGTGTCCCCTACTCCACAGAACTCATATTGGGCCCCTTTGGGTCCCTGGGAGAGTAACAGTTCATTTTAAATGCCTCCTACTGAAATTTCTCAATAATTTTTGCATTTAAAACTCAAACATTGGTGTAGCCTTTTTTAGCAGAGTATTTTGTGCTAGACAGACAATGAAACAACGCATGCATGTAAACTGGAAAGAAAAGGGTCATCCTTTAATGTATCTCTGTTGTGAATTAAAACATTCCATCATAGTTCCATTGTGTCACTCTCCTGGAAGGTGAATCTCCACCTCAGTCATGAGCCTTTTGCAGCTAACTCCCTATCACTCAGAGAAACAGAGAATGCAGCTCCAACGTAAATGAATTGCTTCGATTGGTAACAAGTAAATAAATTAAGTTTGCCCAATTCCTTTTATTCAAATGGAAACTTAAAAACAAAATAATTAAGTTGGATCAACTTGATTCAATTACTTGTTACCAATTAAAGCAATTCATTTACGTTGGAGCTGCATTCTCTTTTAGGCATGATGCTGCCACCACTGTACCTTTGACTGTGTTTAGGGGGATGTGCGGTGCTCTAAATCCACCACATGGTGACCAACAAGTGTAATTTTGGGTAATCAAAACATTGTCCATGTCTTTTCCACTCTGTTCCTTGATCTTCTTCATGTTGTTTGTTATTTAATGATCTCTAGGTGTTATTAAAAAAATACAAAAACATGTCAGTCAGTTGAATCAGGCCCAGCTGTTACACTGATCATTAAAAACAAATCCCTTCAGCTGCTAAGAAGATCTGAATGACGGATTTATGTTGAACAGCAACTTCACTTTCTCAGCTCAGTTACAGTGTTGAATAAATAGCAGGATCCAATGTACAACAAAGAACTGAAAATAAAACTAAGCAAATAAAATAGGGCTAATGTCAGTGACATGAGTGCCTCTGATTTGATGAGATCCTCAGAGTTCATCCGGATTAGATTAGGATAAAACAGGATATGAAACATTACTCTGTTGTCATCCTGCTCTTTTATTAATGACGCAACAAAATGTGACATTGTTTCTTTAGAATTCGCAACATTGTGTGAAATATATTTAAAAAGAGAAAAAAGGAAATTAGACATAAACATTGTTACCAGTTCAGAATGTAAGCTTTGCTTTAGATGCTTGTATGATGGAAGCAGTTCATAAAGTTCATGGAGAGAATGTGAGGAATCCTGAATGTTTCCTCATTAGCTCAGAAAATCCTGGACAGAAGGCTGGGACACTGTACTAACCCTTTTAGCTCCTCTCACTATCTTTTGCAGAGATCCCATTTTTCTACCATATTGGACCAAGTTACCATCACATTACCATCGCCTTTGTTGTTTGACTACTTCTCTGCTTACTGATTCATCGCTCCCATGAATGAATCATACTACAACAAGGTTTTCTCATGTGTGGATTCACAATCATGTTAAGCATGTCTAACTTTTATAGTACAAATTACAGTGACGTCATTGCACATGCCTTCAAAAACCTTTTTTCAGAGTAAATACATTTCCTCATAAATCTAAACTCAAGATCTTGGTATTCCATGCTACGCAATGCTTAGATAAAGACTTTTAGGAAATGGATAAAAAGAATAGATTATTCTAAACTGTCCCACCTGTTTAGATTTTAAGTCACAAAATAACATATCCTCACCCTAGGGATGCACGATATAATCGGCCCCCTATCGGTATCGGCCTTAAAACTGAATATTGGACATCGGCCACCCCACCG